AAAGAAAAATATCTATCCTTTGTCGGTAAAAGTTAAAGAAAGCAACCACCGAATGAAAAAACCAGTAAATATGCAAAGAAATTTAGTTCAAGCGGGAACCACAAAAGATAGTTATCAAAAACAGAGGAAAAAAAATACTATAAGTAAAAAAAAAGAACATAAAACATGTACTTCAGTAAGGGGACGAAGGAAACCAAACCAGGATCGCGAATCAGTCCAATAAAGAATGAGCTAAGAACAGTGCAAAAGCCCTGCATGAAAACCATATTAGACATAAAAAAAAAGTTCCATCAAAACCGCAAAAAACTAATCACCAATGAAGAACCAAGCAATAGAGAAGCAAGAACAAACAAAAGGCCCTTATTTTGAGGAAAATAAAATGAAACACCGAAAAAAAAGGGCTAAGGATTTAAGAAAAAAACGTCACAGCAAAGTCCCAAAGAATGAACTATCCAACAACCCAAAACGAAGAACAAAAACTAATCAGCAATGAACAACGAAGTAGTAGAGAAGCAAGAACAAACAAAAGGTCCTAATTTTGATGAAAATCAAATACAACACTGAAAAAGAGGGCTAAGGGTTTAAGAACAAACCGATTATGATAAAAAAAATAAAAAATAAAAAAAAACCTATGAAATCAGCACATTTCTACGCTGAATATGAGCTCTGAAGATTTCCATGCTAAATGTATTTAAAAAAGCGAAAGAAAAACATTTCTGAAATGCCCCTTCAAAAAAAAACGCAAAGAAAAATCGAATAAAAAACTCTAAATTACGATCAACATTTACAAAAATTAACCAAAGAAAATTAGTAGAAGGAAGATTTTAATAAATGAATACATATAATAAAGGAGATTAACTCTAAATATCGAAACCCTAAATCATCAAAGAAGAAAGAAATCTAAAGCAAAAAATCAAAACATCGTATTAGTGCGAGAATAAACAAAACATCCAGAAGGGAAGAGAATGTAAGAAGAACAGAACATCATAACCCAAAACTGGAAAACGTCAAGACGAAGAGAAGAAACGGTAGAAGAAAAAAATTTTGCAAAACAAATCGAAAACAAACAAAGTAAGAAACGAAATACCATATTAGTACTGAGAAAAAGAAAGCAACAAAACCCACACAGACAGAAGAAAGAGTAGAGAACGGCGGAAATTAAACAATCAAATGAAAAAGTAACAAAGGGTGCAGCAAACGGAAGGAAGAAAAATTGCTCCAGAAACGAATAAAAAAAAATAAAAATGTAGAAGGCTGTAGAAGGTTGTAGAAGGCAGCAAACGAAAAGAAAAAAACACTCAATCTGAGTGCAAATGACCGAAACGGTCAGAACAAACCAAAACAAAAAAAGCTGAACTAAAGGGTAATTTAGTAACTTTACATTCAAAAGGACATAACGGGAATAAAAAATTCATCTGAAGAAATATGTAAGGATAAAAAAAGAAAGACACTGTTCATTGCACTGTAACATGAATAGTGAATCCGTCCTTTTCTTTAATATATGTATAATTAGATAGATGCCGGTTTGGGTCCACTTTTTTAATTTATGATATGTCACGATTAATTGAAAAATTATTTATTGAAATCGATTAATCATTTATTAATTATTGGCTATTGGGCTGTGGACATGTCTATTTTGGAATAACGAGAGATACGTATTTAAAAACTGAACAACTTCATATGGGTTGTGTTAAAAGTCTCATCAACCTAATGGATTGATGATTGAGAATGTGTATTCTAAACTCATCCCTTAATTAGTTTTGTAACTACCCTTAGAATTCCGTCCTTATTAAATTAAGATATAAAAAGAGAAAAATGAGAGCATAATTCTTGGGTGCCCAACCCTACATCTGAACGGTTAATAATCCTTGGATAGTTGGATTCAATGGTGTCTTAAAAAAAATAAATAAATAATAAAATTAAAAAAAAAAAAAAAAACACCGTATACTATTTTTCTGCATTTATCTAGCCTGAAATAGTTGGATTCAATGGTGTCTTAAAAAAAATAAATAAATAATAAAATTTAAAAAAAAAAACACCGTATACTATTTTTCTGCATTTATCTAGCCTGAAATAACTCGAGCGAGGTTGGAAAATTACATGCAAAGAATTCATTGGGTCATCTAATGGATGACAAGATGTAGACAAGTACGTCACTGAAGAAAAGAAAAACACAGAGAGAGACAGAGACAGAGAGACCAAGGACGACGACTAATAGCGTGGCAAACTCCCAAATTTTCTCTTTAAAATGGACAAAGCCAGCTGGACTTGCAATTGACTGCAAGTGCCAGAACAACCCAATCTGTGCTGCTTCCTGATCACACAAAAAGAGGGCCCATGCTGAACATTGCAGCTCCGCCTGATGAGCCGTATTTATATGGTTGCTCTATTCACCGACGTCAATTTTCAAATAGAGTCCTTATTACTTTTACCCTTTAATATTAATTTATATATCTCTACTTTTTAGATTATAATTAGTCACAGATAAATTCTTTAAAATATATTTTTTTTATAAGTTAAATACCTAAAAAGATAAAATTTGTAATTTTTTCATTTATCATTTCTCCACACTTGGGCCACCTTTCATTGTACTAGAGTCCAAAAACTTGATCAAGGGAATTTACCCAAAACAAAGAGTGAGAGAGAGAAGATTCGGGAATGTGCACCCTTAACTCATTGTTTTTAGTTTTGTGATTTTTTTCACAAGAAAAGATTATTTCAGTAAATTTATCCTGACGTATTTAAAATATCAAAATATCCTTAACAGTATTATACGAAGATATTGATTATAGGCGACCGATAATTTATGGTATTGTTCGCCCGTATATGGTGTTAAATTTTAATAGTAAAATGTGAGTGAGTATCGTCTTTATAAAAATTAAATATTAAATTATTATGAAGTACCGCGATTATTGTAACTTAATTTTTTTTAGACAACTAAACTCAATAAAATAAAAATAGAACTAGAACAAATACAAATACAAAAGCAAAATAAAATATGAAAACTTCTATGCACAAATGTACTAGAGACTTGACTTCACCTTATCATTCTTATGTTCATCCTATCAAACCATTGTTAGCCAATTACACTCAATTCATTAATCAAGGGACCTAATCTAACATTGTTGCCTCTCCCGAGCATCAAACGAAGTCATATGCATGAATACTCGAATCAATACTCCTATCTAACCCGTTTACTCATACCCTCATTAAGTTTAGCCCTTAAATTGGAAATCAAATGTCGATTGCCTCCGGGCCTTAAAACAATAGAAATCCTAGTCAATAATCTAAGACTTGATCACCTCTCGTTCTCACAATATCCTAAACTCTCAACAAGATTATCTAAGTGTCGATCTCCTCCAGGACTCACAACAACCTAGACTATATTTCTTAATTCCGGACTATGAAATCAATCTCTCTCGGGCATCAAAATCACAATCTAAAATTATCTAACTTATTGGCCACATAAATTAGAAACATTAAGCATGGAGAAACATAAATAAATTAAAATGGAATTTAAACTAACAATTGACAAGATAATCAAACATGGTTCAAATAAAGCTACATGAAGCTCCAGAATATGAAGTCTATTTCAACACAGAGGAATCCATAACCAAAATCACAAATTTAAGAACAAAAACTAAAAAACTACAATAAAAAGGGAGAAAGAAGAGAAAACTCTTATTGAGTTGAGCTTTAAGTCTTCAAAACCTCAAGAATCTCTCCTAAGCATTCTTCAAGAATCTCCAACTCTAATCTTCTCTCTCTCTAGGAATTTTTGTGTCTATCATCCTCTCTAAGTTGAAAACTAGAGTTTCTTTTGCTTAAGTATGCTCAAACATTGAGAAAATCTCAGCCAAACTCATCTAAGGGTCCAAAATTGGCCATCCATATTGATCAAGGGCTGAAAAATGGCCCAAAGTTTGTCAACAACAGGCGGGGGTGGGGTGGCCGTGCTCCTTTGTGGCGTGGCCACGGGGCTAGTGGCGCGCCAGCGCACCCAATGTTTCGCAGCCGCACGGGGTGTGGCGCGAGCGCGCGCCTCAAGTGGCGCGCCCGCACAGGACACAGGTGGTTCTGCCCAAGAGGACCCTTGTGTGGCCTTGAGTGCTTTTTGCTCTAATTTTTTACTCTAAAATACCACTAAGTCCGATTTTATTATTTTTCCTACAAAATAATACCAAAAACATATTAAACTAACAAAAATGCTTGAAGACTCATAAATAATTTGAACTTAAAAATACTTAATTTGTCGGTAAATAACCTCCTCATCAAATATCTTATAGTCATATTACATGTAATGCGCTGTGATACTCAAAATTCCAGGTAGCTATGGTTTGGTTTCTTACCATGCTACCATTTGTTTTCTAACCAAATACTAAAGAAGAAGAATTGGAGGGGTGTCACTGCAGTTTGGTTTCCTACCATGCAGGTGTGCGGTCTATTGATCTCATCCGGTGACAAGAAGAGACAACGAGATCTCCCCTCACGACAACAGGAGAAATCTTGTCGACGAAATCTCCTCGCTAGCTTGCCACAGGACTGCGACCTCCGACAAGGGATCTATAGCAACGGTCAATGTAAGGCGCAGGAGAGATCATCAGCGGATGGCGGGGGCACACACGACGCAATTTCGACGAATCAATAGAAGGTCTAAACTTCAGTGAGAAAAAATGGGAGCAACCCGATTACTAAAACGCTTGTGCATTGTGCTAAGCTAAAAGATAATAGTGTTCGCTACGTGCGCGTTTTGCGCGCGCGGCGTGAGGACGCCAGCACCAACAAACAAACCGAACGGGTCAGCGTCCACTTTTGCGGCAGTTGCTGACAAGGACTTCAAAACCTCCAGATACGACGTCGTACCAGGCATTAACATTATTGTACAGTTAATATTCCACGTGGAAGCCAACGTACAACCTCGGAAAGCGATCCATCTAGATGAGAAGAAACCTTTTTAAACCTCGAAGCTTCGTTTCTGGCGACCGAAAGTCCCACTCCCACACGCCTCTTTTTTTTCACAATTTTGAATTGAATTAGTCTCTCTCTAACAAGCTCTTCTTCAATGGCGTCTTTCTAAGCTAAGATTAAAACTTTAATCATTCTCTCTCTCTGAATTTGATCGTGAAGAAGAAAATGCCGAGCCTTGCGGTGAAAGTCTATAGCTTGTTCTACAAGTACCTCCTGAAAAAGCAATTACAGAGCTTAGCCCTAGCCGACGCCGATCGTTTCATTTCCGATCCGTTCGGAATCACTTCCCGGCCCGGAGAGTCCGTCGCCGCCGCCAATCCGACCTTCCAAAACGGCGTCGCGACGAAGGACATCCACGTCGACCCCTTGTCCTCTCTCTCCCTCCGAATTTTCCTCCCCGAGTCCGTCCTCGGCGCTAAATCTTCGATCAATTCTTCTCCGGGGGGCGATTCGGAAAACGATGTTGTTTACAGGGGATATTCCCCTCCGCCGTTGGGGAAGCGGTGCCGGAAGCTGCCGGTGATGCTGCAGTTCCACGGCGGGGGGTTTGTGAGCGGGAGCAACGTGTCGGCGGCGAACGACGCGTTTTGTAGACGAATGGCGAAGCATTGCGATGCGATCGTGGTGGCGGTGGGGTACAGATTGGCGCCGGAGAGTCGGTTCCCGGCGGCGTTCGAGGACGCGGTTAAGGTGTTGAATTGGCTCGGGAAGCAGGCCAATTTGGCGTCCCTGAGGAATGTGAGGATTTTGGGGGTCAATCGCCGAATGTTCGATAGCTTTGGGGAATCCATGGCTGAACCTTGGTTGGCTGCTCATGGGGATCCGTCTAGGTAGGTTTTGATTCCTTAATTCATTTATGGAAGTTTTTCACTAATTTAGTTTCAAGTTTGCCCTTTCTTAGCAAATTTCTTAACGCAATGTTTCCCAGGAAAAAAATGATATATTCTGTAATTTTATATGTGTGAATTCTTGCAAAGTTTAGGTTTTTTTTTTTGTTTTTCCCTCACAATGTTGTCTTCATTGCTAAATACCATCACAGAAGTTTTTCCGGTGCTGAGAAAGTAATTAAGAACATTTTTGAAGGAACCGAACCTCAATCTATTTATGGAGACTAAATCTTAATCATTTTCATATCTAATGAGAGGTAGTTATGTAGCACCCTTTTTGTGTTTCACTTGTGCTAATTTACAACAACAATTCTGTAATTACAACAGATGTGTACTCCTTGGAGTGAGCTCCGGTGCAAACATAGCGGACTATGTAGCTCGAAAAGCCGTAATGGCAGGGAAGCTTTTGGACCCTGTTAAAGTGGTTGCGCAAGTCCTGATGTACCCTTTCTTCGCCGGGAACACCCCTACTAAATCGGAGATCAAAATGTCAAACTCATATTTCTACGACAAGGCAATGTGCTCGCTGGTGTGGAAGCTGTTTTTACCTGTGAACGAATTCGATCTGGACCACCCTGCGGCCAACCCCCTTCTCCCCACCACAAAGCCACCTCTGAAAGACATGACCCCAACACTGATGGTTGTTGCCGAACAAGACTTGATGCGAGACCGAGCCATCGCTTACTCAGAGGAGTTGAGGAAAGCTAATGTGGACGCGCCTGTTCTTGAATACAAGGACGCTGTGCATGACTTTGCCACTCTTGATGTGCTCCTCCACACACCACAGGCCCTGGCTTGCGCCGAGGATATCTGTATATGGATGAAGAAGTATATCTCGCTCCGAGGCCATGAGTTTTCTTACTGACTTGATTAGAAAGGTAGAGAGAATTTACTGGCTTTAGTAAGCAGATTGCAGAGATTCAGCGCTAGGAGCAACAGTTTTGTGGATACCAGCATCATGTTGCTCCAGTTTTGTTGGTTGTTTATAGATATATTCCTTCAAAGATCTTCCGTACAGAGCTGTATATTCTTTTTGCTGTATATTTAAGGATTCATTTTGTATCCAAATTCCATTCTTTCTCATTTTTTTTATTTAAATTACGTAGCAAGTTGTGTGTAAACTTTTGTAGGTGACTGCTTATATTTAGAAGTTGTTCTAGCATATGGTTAACAATAACATTAAAAAGACATGTAAGCTTTTTATAAAGGGATTTTTTATCTGTAATCTGACCCCATGTTCTCAAGCATTATGTTTTTTTTTTTTTTTTTTTTTTCATTTTCCACTCTCACAACTCACGACAGATAACAACCTCAAATGAACAATTTTCCAAAGACACCCAAAAAATGATGATAAAAATAAAGGAGCTGAGGACGTTTGTGTGAGGCATTCCGTCGAACACCTTACGCAGAAAGCATCATCCCAGATGTCATGTTCCGACGTGGCAGCATCAGCGGCCGATTTGGAAGTGGGCCCACATGGTCAAATCCAAAGTCACGGAACTCAGCCACGTGTATGGCGGGCAATTTCCACTCACTTGCTGTCCCGCTCCAAACCACTCTCCGAGCGTGTGGATAAGCCTCTCTCGGACAAAGAAAAGGAAAAAACACAGGAAAACCGAAGAAGTACAGTTAAAGCAAACCATAATCAGAAGCGAAAATGGAGGTGGGTATGTCCCTGAACGCCGTGGTTTGTCTTCCGTTATCGAAATCTCGGACACTCGAAGATGGCCTGGTCAGGCACTCGCTGTTCTCAACTCGGTCGACTCAGAGGCAAAAGCAAGAACAGAAGAGACAAAGAAAGACTCTGGTGGTTGAGGCGAAAGGCAAAAAGGGAATGCAGGCTCGCCAGTTTCAGAGACCCCCGCCTCCTCCGATGCCCAAGATTGAAGACGACGGAAACCCACGTTTCGTTATCTTCATCCGTATGGCCAATGTTCGCTCCTTTTCCCTTTAATTCCTTTTTTGTTTTCATTTTATTATTTTTCTTACTCAGATTAAGTTCATGTTGATCTCGGATATGCTATGGATTTTGGATTTGCTTAGGTTGGTTTTTGGTACCCGCTTAGTATAATAACGGGAGGCACAACTGCGAAAATCATGCTCGCAGCGAAAGATAATTTTCTGGGGAAGTACATTTACAAAGATACGCTTGATAAAAATCTTGCTGCAGTTATATACCGGGTAAGTTTCCTGCTTTTTGTGATATTGTGAACTTGATTTCTGAGTTCTATCTTTAAATTTGATGATTTGATGAACTAAAATTTTAAAATCTAATCGTTTCCTTGCTACGAGAAGAATTGTATTTTTTTCTGGCGTTGATGGAAATGAGGAAAATTACGAGTCATTCCTGAACTGTTGATTTCAATGGAATATAAGTAAAAACTCTTTATTTAGAAGAAAACACAACTTACTATCTTTTGATTTCAGATATAAGATGGCAAGGCTATTTATAGATACTCAAATTCCATACAATAGTAAAACCAAAACTTTTAAACTTTTAAAGCTCCACAAAATAAATACAAATACAAAAAAGTGTATAAATACAAATACTAAATACAAACTTTTGCACTTCTAGATTCCCAACTATAAAGGTAAGGTTTTGAGTCGCATTTAAGACAAGACCTCTAAGCTTCCACTAACTCTCAAATTGATAGGGTAAATTAACTTAAGACTGGTTTCATCTTTTGGTTTTCCCACTTGACGGTATAACTCTATCTCATTCCTACTAGTTTTAGCTAAAATATCATGAGCTACCTTTTTCCCTACAGGAATCCTCTTTGTCCAATTGCTATCATTTCTTCATTTTATTACTATCCTGTTAGACATGATTATTTCAAGCAAGTTTAGGTAACCAAAGATGTGAAGTTTTGTTCTTTACACTGAGATTTTTGGTTTACACAATCAAGTCCCTGACAAACAAGTAATTGCAAAAACTTTCACTAGAATTACTACATCCTCGTATACATGTTACTAGTGGCTCGTTGTTTGATGAAATAGGATGAGAAGGAGATACAGAAGTCAGCATTTAAGCAGTTCAAAATTTTGCGGAATGCTACAGAATTCAGATATGGCTACAAGATTGTTGTAATGTTCTTTAACCTCTACAGTGACGAATTGCATTTTTATGATTTTGTCTTGTCCCATCCTCAAAGATACCTTGAACTTTTCCAGTTCAATATTGACTTCTTTTTTCTCTTGACATACAGGAAAATGGCAATTTGAAAGCAGCAGTTGCTACCAATGATGTTGTTGAGGTACGTATTGGATTATTTAAGCATCCAAAGTTTTTTATATACTTAAGAGCTGTGGTCTGCATTTTATTTTACTTTTTTCATTTCAGATTGATTGAATTGTTTCCCTTTAACATTCTTTTAGCTTCCAACACAAGATAAGCTCAGGACAGTGTTGGACAAAGTGAAAGATTTCTTCGGGGATGCCAAGGATTCTTTTGGGAAGATGACAACGCTTAATACATCCGCAACTGAGGAGTCAGAAGAAAAGGCCAAGTGAGTTATATACACGCCATTGCAGATGTTGTCGTATAGAAAACATTTAATCTTCGGCTCACCCTCAACACTCTTATATCTCATATTGACTTCAACTCCTTCCAAGGGTAAAATAACTGGTATGATTCACTTATCAGGGTTAAAAGCTGAAGATAGAGAACTGATTTGATTGACATGTCGCAATAGCCACTGTATTTGGGAGATGGATCGGATCATTTGGTACTGCCCTCGGAAAGTTCGTTCACCCCAGTTTTGTTCATAAATATCTGTCATTTGCAAAGAAAGTTCTATGCCTTTTGTCAGTGATATCAGTTTACTAATTTCACCAGTTCCTAGACGTTTTTTTTTTTTCCCCCGTAAGATATGAGACTGCTGAAATGGAGTAGAATACAACATGGTTTACATGAAGCAACTGTTTCTTTTAGTCTTTTTTCATGTTGCTTCTTCTTGTGGACTACATATGACCGGTTTTAGTACTGGGATGATAAATACATTAACAGACATTAATTAAAACATAGGAACACAGTGCTATGCATCACTAAAAACCCTTAAAACTTATAATCTTTGTTTGCTGTTGGCACGAGAATGAGAGGAGTCTTCTTTCTTGTTGCAAGACCGAAAATCTCGTCCAGATTCACATCATCAGCGCCGACTCCTTGAGGCAATTCCCAATCAAAATGATATAAGAGCAGAGCTAGAGCAAGCTCCATTGTTGCTAAGCCAAAGGCATATCCAGGGCAGCCTCTTCTTCCTCCACCAAATGGTAGAAACTTGAAGTCTTGGTCCTTAAAATCCATGTTATGATTCTCAAACCTCTCGGGATCATAGTTCAATGGATCTTCCCATGATTTTGGGTCCCTTCCTATCGCGTATGAGTTTATCAGTACCCGAGTTTTCGCTGGTATTTCGTAGCCATCCAGAACACAGTCCTCCATGGATTCTCGGGGAACAAGCAGGGGGACCGGCGGGTGCAATCGCATTGTCTCCTTCACAACAGCTTTCATGTAATGAAGATGCTGAAGGTGGCTCTCGTCCACTTTCCCAGTGCTACCTACGATCTTTCGAACCTCTTCTTGAGCTTTCTTCATCACTCTAGGGTGTCTGACCAGCTCCGTCATTGTCCATTCTAAAACCGCCGATGTCGTGTCGGTTCCAGCTACAAACATGTCCTGTGTTCAAGATCAATAAACAGTCAGACAAAAAAGAAAAAAAAAAAAAAAAAAGGAAAGGTCTAAATACAGCTATAACTTTCATTAACTAACAACAAAGGAAGGAAAGAAAAGCCAGAAGTCAGGAAAAACGTCTGCTACAGAAAAAAAAAATAAAAAATCTAAAAGTTCCAAATGTTGAACGTGAATTAAGTTTCTACTCTTTTGACTTACCATATTCTGTTATATTTATTGAAGGTAGAAAAACAAAAAAAACAAAAAAACCAAAAATGCTAACCTTATCTATTCTAATAATAGAATAGAAATCATGATAGAAATTGAGATCTACCCATCGGTGGTGTATTTATTTATGAGTTTTGCGTTATGGCCACTAGTACATTGATTGTGTGACAAGGGACATAAATTAAGTAGTACCAAAGTCGTCTCTTGACGGGCAATAGTTAAAAGATATCGTTTAGTAATTAAGTTTTGGTCGGACAATAGTCAACACCCTATCCACATAAACATCACTATACGGATTTAATGCTAATTACTTTAGAATCCAACTTGGCGACCGCCGACTAAATTGGTGGAGGGTATAAGTTGTGTCGCTCTTCGGAGAATAATGCCTCGTGTGCTCTCCAGCTAACTCGTAAAAGTACAGTTGACATCTTTTAAGACCATATTACTAAAATTCCATGGCCCAAACAATTCGTTCTTCGACGGTAGAATCTCTTATTAGTGTCTATTTTTGTCTCTTAGATTTGATCAAAATCCATCAAACTTATGAAATATACAGGGATTGACAGTTTCTGGGCAAGATTTAACAGTTAAAATTGATGATTTATTTTCCCTAAAAATATCGCATCACTCTTCTTTTTTTTTTTTTCTTTAAGAAGGCCTACTGGGAATATCATCATCAATCCTTTAATCACTCCTAATCACATGCCATGATTCATTCACCAGGTGGAGGTCGGGTTCCTGTTTCATTTCAACTAATGAGATGTTTATTTTCTGTATTCGTGTTTGATTCTGAATCATGATTAATGATTCTCTATAATATTTTTCTCTTACAAAAAACACGTGTAAAATGAGAATAATTTTAAATTATGATTCTAAATTCATGAAGCAAACATCTATTAAATAATATACGGAAGAAATGTCTTTGTTCAACTAAGGTCATATCATATCACTTATACTCAGTTTGGTAAGAAGGGAAAAGAGTAGTTAAAAAAATTAGACAAATGAAGGTTTCAGTTGCTTTACAGCACAAGATTTAAAAAAATAAATAAATATTCATAATCAGATCAAAATCACATAACCGAAAAGTATAGTGAAATTTCAATAATTGAAACTCCGCGATACTCTCACCTCAAAGCAACCAGAAGTCGTCGTTGACAGGTACTATGATTTTATTTTTTCCCTATAAGATCTGCTTTTCAACCATTAAATTTTTATCAATGTTTGTTGAATTTACCATATTATTTAGCTTAATATGATTCTTATATAAAACGACGAAAAAAACTATAGAATCATGCACAAGTCTAACCACACAGGTGGCAACTATCTGACAATAATAAAACAAAGGACTTTATCATGCAATGAGCTTAGTAAAAGCCACGTTAGTCTGTCTGGCAAAATTTACGCCAAATTGTTATGTGATGTGAACTGCCATGTATATGACGTTAGTTTCCGCATGTATGAGTCCGTTTGATTCATAAATTAAAATTATGTGATTAGAATTATTTTTAATTTACGTATATTTTTATGAAAAAAAATACTGTAACAAATTACAAATCATGATTCGAATCAGGAACGAAACCTTCTACTAAACATCACCTAAATGATCGTACTCCATTCAATAGTACTCCACCAAAAACGTCAAAGCATCAAATCTCTAACTCGGACGGAGTTTACACTAGCTAACTCACCGTCCACGTAGTTTTTCTTTTCTTTTCTTTTTTTCTGAATTTTTTTTTTTTTTTGCATAATAGGTTATAACTGGAGTTAACACACTCTCCTAGCGTTATTAAGATCCTCTTATTTTATCGATTTAAGTTTAAAATTTAAATTTGATTACAGTAAAAAATTCTTAAAAATAATTATATTTAATTTTTTTTATTGTTCTCATATAAAATTATATCTCAATTTAAATTAAAAATTCGAATCAATAAACTAAACAGATCCTAAAAGAGTTGTCTAGATACTGATAGAAATGTTCCTTAAAGACTCTAATAACAAAGCTCTTCATCTAGACGAAGAATGAGCCCCTTCAACCTCACTAATATGTCATGTTTCTTAAAACATTAAGAGGTCGTTTAGTTTATTAATTTAAATTTTTAATTTGAATTTAAATATAATTTTATGTGAGAATTTTTTACTGTAATAAAAAAATTAAATGAAAACTTTTTTTGAGAATTTTTTAGTCTAATAAATAAAATAAAAGGACTTAAAACAAGCTTTCAAATATAAAAACCCTAGAAAAAATCACATTGGTATTCGTACTTTTAACCACAGACCCAACCGTTAATAATTTTATACCGCCAGGTCACCGCACACACTCGTGTCAGTTCACGTAGAATTAATATTTAAACCAACATGAGCAGTGTAAGGAGAAAAAGATGTAATAGATCAGATTCAGAAGTACATAGTACTAGTTTGATTAATTACCAGAACAAGAGCCTTCAGATTATCGTCCGTAATAGGCACTTCCAAGTCTTCTCTTTGTTGCACACGAAGAAGAACATCAACGAAATCTTCACCATTTGTACTGCTAATCCGATCCGTTGATCTCTCCACGTGTTCTTGTATTATCTCTTCACAAACCTCTCTAAGATCCTCCAAGTTCTTCTCCAATCTTTTCTTGAACCCGGTCACCCAGTCAACCCAGTACTGCCACTCGGGATAAAAATCCCCAGCGCAGAACCCACCGAAAAGTTCCTGCGCCTCCGTCAACACCCCCGTCAAATGACGATTCTGTCCTTCCTTCTTGATAAACCTCCTCCCGAACGCCACTCGGCAGAGGATGTCGTTCGCCAACGTGAAGAACACCTTGCTCATGTCGACCGGATCGTCTGAACCGGACGAGGACAGGTGAGTCAGCATCCGGTTCATCTCCTCGCTTCGGACGAGTCGGAACGAGTTGACCCGCTTGTGGCTGAGCAGCTCGGAGACGCAGATCTTCCGGGCTTGGCGCCAGTAGGGGCCGTAGCGGGAGAAGGTGACGTCGGAGCAGCCGAAGGAGAGGTACTGCGCCTGCCAGATCTGACGGCGGCTCAGTGTTACTCATGTACTGCCTTTTGCGGGGGCGGAGGATGTTGAAGATGAAGATGAAGAAGAAGACGATGGGCAGGAGAGTGAGGAAGAGAGATTCGGGGGTAAAATTGTCCATTTGTCTTGCTTTGATCTCTTGTTTCTGTTTTCTCGCGGGAGAGAGTGTTTTATGGAGGCACCGTGTAATGTGTATCCGTATATTATGGCCCGTTCATGATTCGAGTTTGTAATTTGATTTGAGATGTAATTTTATATGAAAATTTTTTATTATAATAATAAAATTAAATATGACTGTTTTTGAAAACTTTTTACTGTAACAAAACTTAAATTTTAAACTTAAATTAATAAAGTGAAGGGCGCTATAGATGTTTTTCTTACAATTTGAAATTTTATATATATATATATTTATATTTATACACGATTATTTTTTACAATTGCTTACGTGCACGTCACATTACGTATGATTAAGGGATGCTTTCTTAAAATAGCATACCAACATATATAGAATTAAAACGTTTAGATATCACCATCATCCTCGATTCTAGTTTCTATTCCTTCCCGATCAAGCTAAAATCTCCCATTTGTTTTTAAAGTACAGGCCCGTTTTGTTTTTAAAGTACAGGCCCGTTTGTTATTATTTTTAAAATGATTTTATATTTAATACATAAATAAAAATGAGATTAGTTTGATAATTATTATGAGACTGATTTTGAAATTGCGTTTAGTTAATTTTTTAAGATATTATTTTGAGTATAATAAAAAATAAAATCGTATTTGGTTATAATTATTAATTGATATATTATAACATTGTTGATAAGTATTAAAAAATAAAAATAAAAAAGAAAAAATAACTTTCAATCGTTTTTTAATTCTTTCACAAAAATTATTCTTATTGTTTTTTGTTTTCATTTTCATTTTCAAAACATTTACTAAGTAAACAACGCGATTTGCGTGCCTCAAAAGACGTAAAAAAATATTTTTATAAACAAGTAAAAATCAATTCCATATGCACCCTTAAATTTTGGTCATTGAAGGAAAAAAGACCCGTAGACAAGTAGAAACTAGTGACTCCGAGAGCGAAAAAGACATTGCAAGGATAACAGCTTTTATTGTCTCTGTCTCTTAATTATTGTGCTTCAAAGAGGGAAAACAAAATAGAGAAATTAGGTGAGCCAACCGGTTTTGAAAATCTCTTTTTTAAAAAAATATCAGGTTTTTTTTTTAATGAATGTAACTTGTGAATGGTCAATCATATCCGATTAATCAGTAATTAATTACTAAATCAACCAGATCGATAAACCATAGAGTATCACACTAAAATATCTGATGTCTTCGAATGATGGCTGTATAGTATCACAGAAGGATACCAATGGTCATTAGCTGACTATTATCAGTTGCCATAATTTTTGTAACATGGTGGGTTACCTCAAAGTAACATGAGAGGATATCGGTGACCATTGATAGGTCATCTCCTGTTGTCGAAATTTTTAGTGTCACGGCTGGATACCTCAAATATCATGGTAAATGCTAAATACCGATGGACACCGGTAAATAATATAAAAGGAGAAAGAGAGAAATAGGCTCAGATTTGAGATGAATTAAAATTAATAGGCCAATAGTCTACATAAGTTAATAAATAGGCCAAATTACTGTTTTCATCCATAACTTGTCTGATTATGAACCATAACTTGACAAGTTATTATCTATAATTCACGATTTTTGTCCATAACTTGTCTGACTATGAACTATAACTTGACAAGTTTTTCCATAACTTATTTGGTTATGAACCATAACCTGACAAGTTATGATCTATTAATTTCTATAACTAAAAATTGACCTATATACTTTCTTAAGCTTTTCATATTGGCATATTTTCTACTGTTTCCCTAATATTATATTACTATTAGGGGTACCTATAATAGTAGGGTTGTGAAAATGGTTAAGGCCTAACAGGCCAGCCAGTGGCCTCCTATTCGGCAGGGTGCAGGACCCAGCCCAAGTATCCGGGCCGGGCCGGGCGTAGGTCTTCAGTCCTACTCGTGTAAGTACTCTAGGCCCCGTTCATTTCGCTGATTCGAGTTTTGCTACAGTAAAAAGCTCTCACAAACAATCACATCTAACTTTTTTGCTACAGTAAAAAGCTCTCACATAAAATCACATCTCAACTCGAATTAAAAACTCGAATCAGCGAACTAAACAGACCCTAAATTATGACATTTTCTGCAAGAACTTTTTTCTCCAGACCATATGGCATGGATTTGTGGGATTTCTCTTTCAAGTAGTGACCTTATCCAAACAAGTGAAGCCAAAATGTCTTCTATTCAAGGCGTGAAAGGTGGCCGATCAAACTCAAATTAAAAATAAGAGATAATAATATTTATTGAACAAATGGACATATATCTTTTTCTTGCTCCAAACGTACCGATATAATTGATTAATTTTAAAAATGGTGAATGGAATGATCATGGATCATGTTTTTGGAAAAAAAAAAAAAAGTTAGAAATATTAGGAATAACAATAGTTTAACTTATTATTCGTGATTTAAATAAAGAAAAAGCATTATAAAGAGGAGGAAAACTACCTGAAGATTAATTTATTGCGGCATTTTCTCAAGTTGTGCAATCTTGAGAAAATATTGCGGCTCCAGACAATCCTTGTATGCGTTGCACTACAATTCTATAATTAATTTATTTTTTGGTAGATATACTATAATATATCTTTTTATAAACTTGAAGCAAAAGCTCTCCCAGCCCAATAATAATAATAATACAACGATAATAAAAGGATCACCTGATTGGCTGATCATTGCCAACTTCAAAGTGGGGACAGCCAATTCATTCCCATAATTAATTCCTTCATTTTTTTTTTTATCCTTTCACGAGATACCAAAAATATCGAAGAATCTACTAAAAAAATATCTCCCTCTCTTATATTTATATAGATATATATGTATACATATATATAACTAATTCAGAGTGGGAAATAAAAATTATCAAGGACAATGAGTCACGTTAGTCTCTTATCTCCTTTTTCCCCTCATTTTCCTTAGACACACATGCAAGTCTTTTGATCATCCAAGTAGTGATGGGATTAATCACTTTTTTTTTTAATTGTTCACATTTTGTGCATAAGCAAAACATTCATTACAATAGTTGTCAACTATTTTGTTTTAAAAAATAATAATCAACTATTTAAAGTTGACGCTTTTTGAAATTTAATAATTGGTCTTCTCCTTAATTAAACAGATTTTTCTTTATATTCCGTATATGAACTGACAACATCTTCTCTTGGGGTTTATACAAGGCTTTTTGATATCAGTTTTAATCCATCAATAAGTCTTCTTCTTTTCTGCTTAATTATCAACAATCTTTAATCATTTCACGAACTCTGAAGAATGGGAAGACAACCTTGTTGTGACAAGATTGGGCCGAACAGAGGTCCATGGACTGCAGAAGAAGACCAAAAGCTTGCTAACTTGATTCTCAACAATGGCATCCAATGCTGGCGACTTGTTCCTAAGCTTGCAGGTACTATATATATTTACACATAAATGTCAAAATCTTTTTCAACTATATTATATGTATGTGTGTATATTTGTATATGTGATTAATATCATTTATATGGTCATGACGTATTAGACTTGAAGAGGTGTGGAAAGAGTTGTAGATTGAGATAGATTAGATGACGTTTAGTTTATGTATTTAGAATCATGATTCAGAACTATTCTCGTTTTACGTATGTTTTTTGTGAGAGAAAAACACTGTAGAGAACCATGAATCATGATTCAGAATCAGGAACGAATATAGAAAACAAACGTCTCCTAAATTATCTGAGACCCGACCTTAAAAGGGAAGCTTTCTCAGCTTGGTAACAGGTACTCTTGCCAGATTTTATTTATTTTTTCTTCATTTATTACCTTTTTATAAAAAAGAAATCAAGTGATGACCATAATCAAGAGAAAATAAAAACATCCCAATTAAATTAGTACCGTCACTCTCTATTTCACATGATGAATAGCCGACTTTATAATAAATGAAAAAGAATATATAAACCGGTCAAGAAAAGAGGAAAAAATAAAAAAGGATCCCAAGGCTTAAAAAGGCAAAGAACAAGTTCAAAAAAAAAAAAAATAAACAACCCATAAGAAAACATTATAACCCCATTTTTCTTTGATTTATTGCTTCACCATTGCATTTTTACATAATAACATGTGATGGTTTTTTTTTTCCTCTCTCTTTGGATAGGTAGTCAAAAATTGCAGCACAATTTCCCGGTCGAACAGATAATGAAATAAAAAACAACTGGAACAGCAAAATCAAGAAGAAACTAAGGCTAACTGGATTAAACTCTCAGACTCACAATCCCATAAAGCATGACCAAGAAAAAGGAACTAAATCTGAACTCCACTGAAGAACAAGCAAAGTTCACCCCACTAGGAGCAGAACACGGTACTGAGTATCCAAGTTCTGATAAGGAAAATCATATATTGAAGAGAGAAAATGGAAACGACATTTGTGGATCAAGTGGAAACGACAATCTAATTGGGAGCATCTCCGGAACGTCCATGATCTTCCAATCTGATGCTTCCATCATTGGCAATGCCTTTTCTTCAGGACTAGTTGAAGATGTACAGAACAATTGCTCTCATGGGACGGCTTTAACAGCCTTGAAGATGTTTCTTCTGTTGGAGATATACGGTTAAGAGTTTGGTCGGTTGAATATTGTACATCTTTCAGTTTTTTATTTTCTTTTTCTGTATGCTGCGACATAGAGATGTCAAAAGGGCCATGGCCGGCACAGCCCATCTAACCCCAGGCCCATGGTGGGCCTGGGCCGTGCAAGGGGTCGGCCTGGGCCGTGCATAAGAGTCAAGGCCGGGCCCGAGCCCAGGCCCCTCACGGGCCGACCCTGGCCCTTTTATTTTTTTTTACAATATTTAATTAAAAATATAAAATATATCATATGTCCTCAAAAGATGTAATTTTATTGAATTGAGATAATACGAATAAGTACACATAAATAGTTGCATCGTTAAAAACCTTGCCAAGTAAAACTCATGGGGAGATCGGGACAAAACCTTAGCAAAGAAAAAAAATGCAATATTTTAGGATAAGTAAATTACAATACCTAAGTGCTTTCAGAAGATTCTGTTATGTCTAAACTCAATCTTAACTTAATTTTCTTAATGCACTTGAGTTTCACTTATGATTAACAATTTTTTTTAGGATTTTTTTATAATTTCATATTTGATGACAAAAAAAATGGCTGGTTGACTGTACGACATAGGTTAGCCAATTGGCTCTAAAATGCCTCAAACTTCATTAAAATTTCATGTCGCGGGCATGGCCCTTCGTGTGTCTGGGCCGTGCCTGGACCTGGGCTGCCGGCCTTAAACATAAGGCCCAACCCATGCCCTTTTAGCGTGCCAGGCCGGCCCGACCCATATCAATATAGGATCAGATTGAGCCGAATTGACCACTATAGCGGGCTGGGCCAAGCCGTCCACATATGGCCCGACCCAATTGACACCCCTACGGCGACATATTTGGATGGCAACAAAAAGTTGCTCTTTTCTTTTCCAGCTTAACTTAAAATTCATCATTAAGCATCTCACTTACGATAATCCGGAGGTAATACATGATTTTGAAAATATTAAAGGAAGCTATTATAGCTTAGCAGTGGCAGAGCCACGTGATAGTGAGTAGAGACATTTACCTACTCAGAATTTTAAAATTTTGATTTTTAATTTTGAAATTAAAAAAAAATGTTGTGCATCTATTTTATTAATAAGAAAAATTATAACTATGCTTTCACTAAATGATTCTATTAAAAATAAATAAATTTGACTCTATCACACGATTATGTTGGGATAGAAAGGTTATGCTTGATCAATACATACCATGATTAATATGAATTAGCTCCAAATTTGGAATCAAAAAGGGGGGAAAAAAGAAAAGAAAAAGAAACCGAGGTTTATTATCCTGAAATTTCATCTAATTTCATTAAATTATACTAGTCTTTTCTTTTTTTTACTCTAATACAATTATAATGTGATCTCAAAGTTAAAAAAATGGGAATTGAGCAGTTTTTCATACCAAAAAGTTCTCCAAGCAAACAACACATGAAAATACACTGCCGAATATACACCGCCGAATAAGGAATGACGAATGTAGACATAAAACGACGTCGTATGCTGCGTCCCAATTATGCCCGTTAGATCCTTATCCACGGCAAGTTGTTTCTGGATTCCTCCAGAACCCCCGTCCCCTCTACATTATCCATCCAGAAACGTCCGACACTTCCCCTTTATATAAATCCCACAGCCCATTATTTTCTTCACAACTTAAAAAAAAAAAAAACTTCTACATAAAACGAAACAAAATTCCCACCAAGAAACACCGAGAAAAAAAACAAGAAGGAAAAAAAAAATGTCTCAAGCTCTGTCAAACCTGGGCATTTTTCTTCCTCTATCATCACAGAAAAAAGCCAGTAAGTCTCTCAAGCTCCAATCTTTCTTCAAACCGATCGAAAATGGAAGCTTGAGCCACAAGAAGCACAAGGTCATGGCCATGGCAGGGGAAACCAGAGACAATCTCGACCACCTGCAGAGAGTCACCAAGCAACCGCCGCCAAAGAAAAGGACCGCCCCAACACCTCCAATCGGTAACTAATTCAAAACCCCAATGAAAAATAAATAAATTTTTATTCTTTCGGATTTCCATAAACTGAATCAAAATTTTTATTTTTATTGTTTTGTTGCAGGATTGTGGGACCGGTTTCCCACGGCGAGAACGGTGCAGCAGATGATGGAGACGATGGAGAGTATAATGGATGACCCGTTTGACTACTCCGGTGAGTGGCCGTCGCCGGCGGGTACGTTTGTGAGAGGAAGGACGCCGTGGGAGATAAAGGAAGGGGAAAAGGAGTACAATATGAGGTTTGATATGCCAGGGATAACCAAGGAGGACGTTAGAGTCTGGGTTGAGGAGAAAATGCTGGTCGTTAAGGCCGAGAAGGAGGAACAAGGAGGAGAAGGAGATAAAGAATGGTCGGCTAAGAGTTATGGAAAGTATAGCTGCCGAATTGCTCTGCCGGAGAATGTGCAGCTTGAGAAGATTAAGGCTGAGGTCAAAGATGGGGTCTTGTATATCACCATTCCTAAGGCCTCCACCACTTCCAAGATTTTGGATATCAATGTTGAATGATATATGTGGGAGAAAATTTAGATCTGGGAGGATGAAAAGAATAAAAAATTCAGAAAGAAGGGTTTGAGGCGTATAGGAATATTTTTCTTTAAGATTTTATTTGTTCTCACTTCTCAAAGTTTGTTAACGAGTTCTAAATGACAAATTACCCTCAAGATACAATAAATCCTTGAAACAATATCAAGGAAAAAATATTAAGTTTCAGAACAATGTATGTAATCTGTATTTTTTGAAGTCTATTGTATAAAGACAGGGATGCATCCATCCTCTTTAAGAGTTACAACCTTTCACATAAAGATATCTTTTTTTGTTGATGGTTATCTTTTATATGCTGATACATTTATAATAATAGTTATTTCTATTGTTAATAAGTGTTCAGATATGTGAGAAAACATATTACAAATAGATACAATGGTTTGAGACCTTTTCAGATCACAAAAACACACGAACACATTTTCTGTCGAAGATTTACGTTGCAGCGCTCAAACGCACGCTGCAGCGCACGCTACTGTGCGCTGCAGCGCGCGTGCCTAGCAAAACAGACCCGAGAGGTCTGTTTTGCGCAGGCTGCAGCGCCCAAACGCGCTGCAGTGCGTCCGTGCACTGCAGCGCGCACTCTTTTGCGTTGCAGCGCGTGCTTGCGTCAGCCTACTCTTTCCGAATGTGTTTTAATCCAATTTTATGATATCAAGATTGAGAGATATATTACAATCTCTCTAATAATCTCCCACTAGATTGTAATATTTCTTCAGAATTAACAATGATAAACACATACATACATGAAAGTATCTTTCGATTTTAACCTTTACTTAGTGACTATACTTTAAAGTATTCACAAAACAATAGTGTGCTTTGCATTAAATTTTGTCTCTTAAGCAAATACCGAAAATATATCACATATGTGTTATCTCATATTTCAAAACTGTTCCAATCGTTTAGCACTATTCCGGCCTTGTGCTCTATCTTGGATTCATGAACATTTACAAGACTAAACCAAGGTCTTATTAGGAACGGCACCATTCCTTATGTTCACTTAGGTGAAGTTCGAATTATATCTCTAGCTACTAAGAGACTCGAACTTCATTAAGAGTTAAAACTCAACCTCAACCACGTAGCTATTTTTGCACCGATATCCTGGAAGGGACTAATTAAAGTTCGGTGCTAACCCGGTCACATAACAATAATTTGTTCTTACCCATTTAACTATGGAATAGCGGTACAACTATTACATAGTTGGGTTACCATCATTGGTGACTCTTTCAAAGAAAGGTTTCAGTC